TCTCAGACTCACAGCTAGACTGGGCAACAGACGAGGAGCGAGTGGACCTCCATGAGATGGCACCTGAACCAACGCTAAAGCAGTAGCCCTGAGAGGACCTGAGGGTCTCAGCGTCGTCTGCCCAAGATGCGTCTGTGTGCCCAGTAAGGACCACTGGCCTACGTCCTCCCAGCACTAACCCCGTGCCCGTTGTACTTGCTAGATAACGCAAAACTCTCTTAGCGGGCGACCAGTGCTGTGGTCGGTGTCTGCCTGTGGCCACAAAGCGAGCCATGATGCTGAGAGGGTATGCGAGATCTGGACGAGTGCAAGTCATTAGGTACATGAGGCAACCCACCAGCTCTGCGTAAGGACCAATGGGCTTTATTGACTCCTCTGGAACTGGAGCAGAGAGCCTGTGGTCTACTGGCTGAGGTGTGGGCTGTGCGGAGGAGAGTTGAAGACCGAACCTCTGAAGGACTTGGCGCACCAAGTGTGACTGTGAGAGAGTGATGGTGCACGCTGCTCTGTCCCTGGAGATCTGCAGACCAAGGTAGCGGCGCAGCTCTCCTAGGTCAGCGCAGGTGTGTCTCCTCAGCAGCTCGGCCTTCACAGAGACTAGTGCGTCTCTGTCTGCAGTAGCGAAGACCAGGTCGTCTACGTAGACAAGGATGTAGAACGGAGTCTGGCCAGCACGAACGAAGAGCGAGGGGTCTGCAGAGGACGGAAAGAACTGCACGTCAGCTAGCGTAGCACGCAGCATGTCGTGCCACTCACAGGGCGCCTGACGTAGGCCGTAGACCGGGTGCCGGAGAAGCCACTGCGTCCTAGGAGGGATGGTACCGGTGAAGCCGTGTAGACGGCGCAGGTAGACCTGCTCGTGTAGACTGCCCTGGAGAAACGCTGTGGAGAAGTCGAGGGAGTGTAACTCGTAGTCATGCTGTGCGATTACGTGCAGCAGCGCCCGAAGAGTAGTCGTCTTCGGGGTCGGGGCGAAGGTCTGAAAGAAGTCCACCCCCTCACGCTGACTGAAGCCTCTAGCCACGTAGCGTGCCTTGAATACAGGCGGCTCTCCAGGGGGGCGCTTCACTTTGAAGAGCCACCGGCCATCGACCACGTTCACCCCAGGTGGGGGAACTGCGTCGACGTTGGTGCCGGTGGATCTCCAATATGACATCTCCTGCTCCATGGCAGCTATCCACTGAGAGGCCCACGGTCCCGAGGTGGCCTCAGCGTAAGTGCGAGGGGTCGGGATGTCAAAGGCGTCAGGGTCACCCTCATGGACTAGCAGCATGGAACAGAGATGGGGAGCAGCCTCAGACAGGAAAGCAAGCTCGTACTGCCTATCCTCTAGGACGTCACTGCCAAGGGCATGCGCACCCCCAAGGGATAGAGGGCAGACACGGTCAGAGACCAGAGCGGTGGCGTATTCAAGGTGGCGGATAGAGGCGAAGTCAGCGATAGCAGCGACAAGAGCGTCACGACTGGAGACAAGAACCGACGGGTCGGTAACGAGGAATGCAAGGACCCGAGGAACAAAAGGACGAGCAGCACCAAGGTAGTTAGAGAGAGGGGGAGGCGCGACAGCGAGCGACGACGGAGGAGGCGAAGGCAGGAGGGGAGGACGAAACGCGTAGGAACGAAGCAACATAGGGTGAGAACGCTGAACAGGAGATACAGGACGAGCACGAGAGGGACGGCGAGACCAGACGTGAGACGAAGGCATCTGGTTAGGAGACAGAGGAGGAGACACAAGGGAGGAACGAGGGGGAAGACGAGCCGGAGACGAGTTCGGTGGAGGGAACACAGGGCCTTAGACAGGAAGAGGAGGAGGTGGCGGGGAGGCGCAAGCGAGCGGTCAGGGGAGGGAAGGCCGAGCAGGCAAAGGGCGGACACCGGCGGCGACTGCTGCTGCTGCTACTGCTCGACGCCGACACCTGGACCGCCAGCTGCACCACGGCCACCGCCGGAACACACCACGCCAGCACCCCCAAAAACGCCCACCCTAAGAGCGAGAACTCTCTCCAGCACCGGTGCCACCCCTATGCCCACCGGGACAAGCCACGACAGGAACCCCTGGATTAGCACCCTCCTCAACGCCAGCAACCCCAGAGTCCACGAGCGGCTGCAACTGCGGCGGCAGCAGCGGCTGCTGCGGCGGCAACTGCGACGGCGGAGGAGGAGACACCAAGGGAGTGGCAGGCAGCGAGAATGGCGCCGCGGGGCCACCAGAGTCAGCCGACTCCTCGATCGGGACAACCGACAAGAGGGGAGTGACGTGAGACACACCAGACGGAGCAGGACGGGGAGGGAGGTGAACAGGGGCTACCGGGGGAGTGGGAACCAGAAAGAGGGGAGTTGGACCCAAGAGACCTCGGTGGGAAAAGCGGTGGTAAAAGGAGACAGAATCGTCGAAAGTAGCTTCATGGGAGTGAAAGAAGCGGTGAGACGGCGGGTTGTAAAAGTGCCAGTCAGTCGAGTCAAGTGGGAAAACCCAGGAAGACACAGGGGACAGTGCGGGCAGTGAGCTTGTCCGTGCCAGAGGCACGAACATGAGCGAGGCAGCCCCAGACGTGGAATGCGAACGCATCATCAGGGAACCCGGTCCAAAGAAGGGTCGACGAAACCTGTGGTCGCTGGGAGCGCGGCCACAGGTTAAGCTGGTGAGCGGCGTAGCGAACGCCGAACGGCCACAGGAAATGGGATGCACCGGCATGGATCATTGAGGTACGAGCCACCTCCATGACCAAAACCGATGCGTCGCTCAGCGACCCCATTCTGCTGCGGGGAGTCCGGTAGGGTGTACGACTGGGTGATGCCCTACGCACGATAGAACTGTCCAAGCCGGCCAGAGGCAAACTCGCCGTCACGGTCAGAGTGGAGACACAGCACAGGGAGACCGTGGTGGAGGCGTGCAGCTACGACGCGCGCGATAAGAACGTCAGGCACGTCGGCCTTCCGCTTCATATGTAACATGCATAGGAGGGGCCGGCGGGGTGTGGGGGGATAGCTACTAATGCATTAGACGGCGGATCCGACTTAGAGACACTCTACGAAACAAGCGTGAAAGTGGCGGATAACGTGGAAAGAAAAAAGCGAAGACGATGCAGCAAGTATGGAATCAGGAACACAACGATGGGTGCAAAGCTATAAGGTGAAGGCTGGGTAAGTTGTGGTTCCCTCTAGTAGTACGGTGCAGTAAGTTTGTTTCCGGTGGCGTGCTCTGGGAAGATAGGTGAGAACGATTAAGTGGGGTATTGAGATAAACTTGTGCATTTGAGCCCAGCCTTGGTTTCATTTGGTTGGTCGATACACTTCGTGCCAGCACCACAACAGTCGTGCACGCGTGGCGCTTGCTATTGGCTGGCTTCGTAGGCACTGCACACCAATAATATCATGTACTCGTTTACAGGGCTGCGCTAGTAGCAAGTAGTTGTAACATTTAGTATATTGTATGTTGTAACAGCGTCTTTGTGAACCAAAGTTTCCGTCCTCCCACAGGCCAACCAATCAGAAGGGGCTCGGCCTTTTTTGTAGGCACGTGTGCGCGAAATTCAACGCGGTAACTTGGTTGGCGTGCAAAACTAGCAGCATCAGGATGTCGCCGCCCCTTTTCGCCGAAGCCCCCTCACACGACTTTGATGAGGGGGGTACAGTCATCTTTAGGGTTTCGCACTGGTTGTCACATTTTGCCAACAAACAAAATAGAGTCAACTTTGCCTGTGCCCAGCGGAGACTAGACACTTCAGTTTTTTGCGGGGCCAACTTTTTTGTGACGACAAAGTGTATGGTTCAAGTAGGAGTCGTGTACTTACATTAGATTCAAGTCAACTTAACGAAACTAGAGCAGATGCTTTCAGAGCGTTTCAGAGCGGTACCATGGGTTCCCTTAATCTTTCGCGTACGCTCTACTCTGTCTCAAGAAGTTTTGCATCCTCAGCCGCATCACACGGCTCAGCAGCACTCAAGTTCAGGCTTGAGATGCAGAGCGTATCAGGGAGTGTTCCTAAACGACACGATGCCAGGTCCCTTCGTGAGTTCTTGAGATTTTGCTGGTAACAAATTCCCGTAAATAACATTTTGACACGCAGTAGCACGACATGGCATCGCGTAGGAGCAGGCCCTCAGGCTGACTCCGGAATCAAATCGTCCATCCGATTAGTCGGGGCATCGTTTGACAAACGCAGTCGCATCCAGTCTACGAACACAAGAAGCGCCAAGCGGAACCCACGTTCGAAGACTAGTTGCCCTGAATGTATAAGATTTTATGGTAGTTTTCGGCATTGAGTTTGGAAATTCTAGTTTCGAAAATGTTTTCAAGTGGCGGGCGCGGGACTCTGGACAATTTAGACGTAAACATTTCCACCACCTGCCAAACCTTTCTCATTTTCGATTGTGAGGCTGGGAACCTTGTTTTGGTCAATGCACCCTCGCGCCCAGGGCTATGCTCGACGAGCAACTACCCAAATGCTGATTCTTAACGGGTGTCTTTTTGACCGGAACTCCCTTTTTGACGGATTCGGGTCACACCGACTCCGCTGGTTCTGGGGTCTCTGTTTGCTCGAACCTGGCTTTTAGCCTGCGTTCTGGCGGATTTTGACCCGAAAACGGGCCCTGACGGGTACGATGTCCCCCAGATGACTGGTTAAAAATCCATTCTGAAGTCCCGCGCTCCCAGAGTAAATCCTGAGGGGTACCATGGTCCATCCATGGGTTCCCTCGTTCAGGGAGCCCTTCTCCGCAACAAAGTTCCACATCCCCAGCCGCATCACACGGCTCACACACACACCCAACGCGTTTCGAGACGCACACAAAAATCAATCGACAATCCGATTGGTCGGGGCATTGCATGACTCGAAACGCAGTGCTTTTCTTTCTGCCGAGGTTAAACACAAAACAAGCAGCCATACCACGATAAAACGCATGAGACCGCGTGTTTATTCTCTACACCGCTTGTCACCCATGTTCATTTTCGAGCGTGAGTCCCGGAACCCTTGTTTCCTCCACAGCCCACCTCACGCGCTGAGAACCCAGCCACTTCTGCTCCAACGAATGCATAAAGCAGAGCCCTGTTCTGCTCGTTACATCACACAAGCACGTGAACACACATTGCCCAGAAACACCCGATCCTTCTGCTTCTCTCTTCCGCCGAGTAGTCCTCTCAAAAACTTCGAGGTCCTCTCCCTCTTCACTCGTTCCGTCGAGAAATTATCTCGCTCCCTCTTTTCCAAGCCGCGCGAGGCATGGCATCGTGGTGGAACCAGCTGGCGATTCTCGGAATTTGCGCGCTGATCGCGGTGCTCGTCGCGCCGGCGGCGGCGAAGCGGCCCAGCAAGGAGGAGGTGATCGCAGAGGTGAAGAGCGCGCGCGACGCACTCAAGAACCCCGCGATTTCCAGCAAATACCGAATAACCACCACCTTCCTCGACCACTTCATCCCGAAATTGGGTAAGTAGCATGAAAGCTCTCTGTTAAAAGCTACATCTCTCGGCATGTTTAAACCGGAGTTATAACTCGTCAACACCTTTTGCGCTCAACTATTCTAGTCCACGTTCTCCTCATAGCTTTCATCATGAAATGTGTTGACGAAATCGAGCTCTGGTTTCTTGTGTTGGTGTGAGCAATGCAATGCAATGCTTCAGAGAGCGACTGGAATCCGACGGACGAGACGCTCGGCAAGCTGGACCGCAAGGCCATGCTCTTCCCGCGGACGACGCGCTGCTCACCTCCGACTCCGCCGGCGCGGGCGTGAGCATGATGCTGAACCCGAACGCGGACCTGGAGGACGCCAAAGGGTACTGGAACTGGCTGCGCGCCAACATGGTGGACGGGCTCTACTCGGAGCAGGAGATGAGCGACGCGCGTGAGCTCAAGGACGTCAATGGCCGCAAGATGAGCAAGAGTGAGGACGCCGCCGCCGCCGCGTCGGCGAATCTGAGGGGGGGGAGGAAGATGCGGTTCGGGAAGGCCAACGCGCAGATTAACGACCCTGAGATTTTCAAAGGGACGTTTCTGATCGTTCATGGTGTGGACGCTCTGCAGTCGCCGTACTGACCCGCCTGCCGGATCAAAGCGTTTGTGCGAAAAGAAGCTCGTCTGGCTGATCAGCTTCGTAGGCCCTACGACTATTGGAGAAAATCTCGCGAATCCCGTTCCGCAGCGAAAATTGGAATATAATCGGACGCGCGAGACGGGATTCGTGAGATTCGCGAGATTCTCTCCATCTATTGTGTGTTTCCTTGGCGCTCTCATGTGTCTAGATTACGCGTTCCTGGGTAGAGCTATCTGGGTGGAGCAACGCATTAGTGTGATGGTGCTTGGCTGGAGGCTCCGGCTAGGATGGGGTTTACGGAGGGGGGGGTAGTAGATTGGAGAAATGCAGCGGAGGGTGAAAGGCTTTGTTCGGTGTACAAACTTCAGAAGTAATTATTTACTAGTTGATGCGTTTGAAGTTGCTCCATACATAACTTTTCATGCAGCATGATGCTGTCCTTGTCCATGCATCCTGATTAGAGTCTCTTCAAATTACGATATGGAAGCTAGGAATAGAGCCGCTACAGGTTGGATAGGAAATTACACCAGATAAAGAAAGAGTGTCGCTGTTACACAGAATGCGCGTTGATTTGAAACAACCTTACAGAATGGTCGTCTGAACAGGAGGCTAGCTCCAAGCAGCTTCCTTCCCCCTTTTCTACGCCCGCCTCCCTACTATCCTCAACCCTCGTCCCTCCTGCCCTGCTATCTCCCCTCCCACCCTCCCCTCGCCATCGCAGCCTATGAACAGCTGCCAGGTGGCAATGAATGTCACTGAAAGTCACCAAAAGCCTTGACTGGAGAAGGTGAGGTGGTGGTGGCGGTTGGTCCAAGCGTCTGCGCTTGTGTTGCTTGCGCCTTTGCTGCTTCTGCCTGCGGCTGTGCGGTGAGGAGGCTTCCACCGCGTGTTGCAACTTGCAGCGCGCGAGCTCCAGCTGCGCTCCAAGCAGGGGCACTGGGGGGAGTAGAAACATCAGCAAGAAGCCGTCCCTCTGCCCGCGAGCTCCTGCTGCACTCCTGCAGCTTTTGCTGCTGTCATCCCATTGACCGTCACTGGTGTCGTTGTCATTGCTATTGCTAATGTGTTACCCTCAACATTGCTTACAATCTGAATTTACTCCTCCATTCGTCCACCCCCAATCATTTCACGCCCATTACTTCTCACCTTCTCACCTCCATTCGTCTAACCTTCCCTTCCCCAGTTTCTGCAACTTTTGCTCATCTTTTGACGATCTAGGTCGGTATTTCTCTCACTTCCTGTCTTCCCTGCTCCGTTGTCTTATCTTGCCGTTGATAACTCGTTCATCTGTTCCTCGCTTTCCCATCTTTCTGCCTCCCCTCACCAATCACTGTTCGCTGCTTTGAGTCCCTGCATCTCACTGTCATCTATACTGATCCCAATAACTTCCTCTCACCAATCTCTGACTCACCATAACCCACTCTCATGCTTGAATCATGTTGCCCTGCCTGTAGTTTGTGCCTGCCAGCCAAGTCAGATTCCCAAGTCAGATTCCTGAGTCAGATTCCCAAGTCAGATTCCCAAGTCAGATTCCCATGTCAGATTCCCATGTCAGATTCCCATGTCAGATTCCCAAGTCCGATTCCCATGTCAGATCCCCAGGTCAGATACCAAAATCAGATTCCCAAGCCAGATTCCCATGTCAGATTCCGAAGTCAGATTCCCAAGTCCGATTCCTGAGTCAAATTCCCAAGACAGATTCACAGGTCCGATTCCCAAGTCAGATTCCCATGTCAGATTCCGAAGTCACTCTCCCAAGTCAGATTCCCAAGTCTGATTCCCGACTCTGGTTCCCAAGTCAGATTTCCGAGTCAGACTCCAGAGTCACATACCCGAGACGGATTCACAGGTCCGATTCCCAGGTCAGATTCCCAAATCAGATTCCCCAGTCAGATAACCAAGTCAGATTCCCGAGTCACATACCCGAGAGACTCACACGTCCGTTTCCCAGGTCAGTTTTCCAAGTCAGATTCCCAGTTCAGATTCCCAGTTCAGATTCCCAAGTCAGATTCCCATGTCAGATTCCCTAGTTCGATTCCCAAGTAAGATTCCCAGGTCAGATTCCCACGTTAGATTCCCAAGTCAGATTCCCGTGTCAGATTCAGAAGTCGGGTTCTCGAGTCAGATTCCCAAGTGAGATTCCCCAGTCAGATTCCCAAGTCAGATTCCCAGCTCAGATTCCCAAGCCAAATTCCCAAGTCAGATGCCCCGAGACAAATTACTGAGTCAGATTCCGGAGTCAGACACCCATGTCAGGTTCCTGAGTCAGATTCCCTAGTCCGATTCCCAAGCCAGATTCCCAAGTTACATACCCGAGACAGATTCACAGGTCCGATTCCCAGGTCAGATTCCCATGTCAAATTCCCAAGTCAGATTCCCATGTCAGATTCCCACGTCACATTCCCAGGTCAGAATCCCAAGTCAGATTCCCAGGTCAGATTCCCACGTGAGATTCGCAGGTGATGTTCCCGAGTCAGATTCCCCCAAGTCAGATTCCTATGCGAAATTCCCAAGTCAGATTCCCAGGTCAGATTCCCTGGTCAGATTCCCAAGTCAGATTCCCTAGTCAGATTCCCACGTCAGATTCCCAAGTCAGATTCCCAGGTCACATTCCCAGGTCAGATTTCCAGGTCAGATTCCCAGGTCAGATTTCCAGGTCAGATTCCCAGGTGAGAATCCAAGGTGAGATTCCCAGGTGAGATTCCCAGGTGAGATTCCCAGGTGAGATTCCTGAGTCAGATTGCCAAGTCCGATTCCCAAGTCATATTCCCAGGTCAGATTCCCAGGTCACATTCCCAAGTCAGTCAGTTTCCCAGGTCGGTCGGATTCCCAAGTCAGATTCCCAGGTCACATTCCCAGGTCATATTCCTAGGTCAGCTGCCCAGGTCAGATTCCCAAGGTCACATTCCCAGGTCAGAATCCCAGGTCAGATTCCCAGGTCAGATTCCCACGTGAGATTCGCAGGTGATGTTCCCGAGTCAGATTCCCCCAAGTCAGATTCCTATGTGAAATTCCCAAGTCAGATTCCCAAGTCAGATTCCCAGGTCAGATTCCCTGGTCAGATTCCCAAGTCAGATTCCCTAGTCAGATTCCCAAGTCAGATTCCCAGGTCCCAAGCTGATCAGCCAGACGAGCTTCATCGGAGAAGGGGGGGGGAGGTTTTTCAAGTCGAAGGTGTGTTGGGGGAAAGTCCCTCGCTTCGGAGGGGGTTGGCTGGGAATTGGCGAGTCGTCGTCAAGAACGTCTTCGTCTTTCCCGCAACATTCCCAACCAAACCGAGTCGCATCGAGCAATTCGTTCGGAAATTGGGGTTCGGTGTGCACGTCGAAGGAGAGTTGTAATCGTATTGCATCGACTCGCCAATTTTGTTATTAGACTTTCGCTGCAATGGACATCTTTTGTCCCACGAGTTGTAATCACTGGACAGTAAATTAGACACTTATGTTGTATGTATATTTGTTATATATAACTAAGTAAAAATTTTACAATATTATAACTCGATTTGAACGATTTTTTAAATATACATTCTCGTGATTTCATTCATTATTATACCCGCAAACCATAACAGATATTATTGGCAATGAAAAACAACCCTCAACAATACCTCTTCATCCAACATAAAGACAAGCCCTAATCAACTTCCAAAACACCAGCACGTCTTGAATCACATCCCTGATAACGAAGCACATCCACATGCAACTTGCCCCATCGCCCCCTTCAGAAAATAACCTCCACACCCTCTCCATTCAGGTCGCCTTCAACCACATCATCTACGTCACGGTCCCCCACGAAATCAAGGGCCAGGATGTTCTCTGGGACATCCACCCAATCCATGAGGTACAGCTTGCCGATGAAGTAGTTGTTGCCGTTGTACTTGGTGGCCTGGAACCGGTTGAGCAGGCGCTGGACGACGCGCTCCTGCCTTCCGAGGGCATCAGGATCTCCAGACCTTTCTAGCTGAATGCGTGCCATGTTCGGATTGCGCAACTTGTGACGAATCTGCAGATCAAGAGGGACGGAGGGATGGGCAGAGAGAGGAATGAAGGGATGGGAACGAAGGGAGGAAGGGATGGAGAGAGAGGGGCGGGGGGAATGGGCAGAGAGGAATGAAGGGATGGGCAGAGAGGGATGGAAGGATGAGAAGGGAGGAAAGGAGCGATGGGATGGAGGGATGGGAAGGGAGGGATCAAGAGATGGGATGAGAGGGAAGGGGGGGAGGGCAAAAAGGGATGAAGGGATGGGCAAATGGGATGAGAGAGAATGAGGGATGGGCAGGGAGGGATGAAGGGACGGGCAGGGAGGGAGGAGGGGACGGGCAGGGAGGGATGACAGGACGGGCAGGGAGGGATGAAGGGACGGGCGGGGAGGGATGAAGGGACGGGCAGGGAGGGATGAAGGGACGGGCGGGGAGGGATGAAGGGACGGGCAGGGAGGGATGAAGGGACGGGGCAGGGAGGATGAAGGGACGGGCAGGGAGGGGATGAAGGGACGGGCGGGGAGGGATGAAGGGACGGGCAGGGAGGGATGACAGGACGGGCAGGGAGGGATGAAGGGACGGGCAGGGAGGGATGAAGGGACGGGCAGGGAGGGATGAGGGGACGGGCCGGGAGGGATGAGGGGATGGGCAGGGAGGGATGACAGGACGGGCAGGGAGGGATGAAGGGACGGGCAGGGAGGGATGAAGGGACGGGCAGGGAGGGATGAAGGGACGGGCGGGAGGGATGAAGGGACGGGCGGGAGGGATGAGGGGACGGGCAGGGAGGGATGAAGGGACGGGCAGGGAGGGATGAAGGGACGGGCAGGGAGGGATGAAGGGACGGGCAGGGAGAGAAGGGACGGGCAGGGAGGGATGAAGGGACGGGCAGGGAGGGATGAAGGGACGGGCGGGAGGGATGAAGGACGGGCAGGGAGAGATGAAGGGACGGGCAGGGAGGGATGAAGGGACGGGCAGGGAGGGATGAAGGGACGGGCAGGGAGAGAAAGGGACGGGCAGGGAGGGATGAAGGGACGGGCAGGGAGGGATGAAGGGACGGGCAGGGAGGGATGAAGGGACGGGCAGGAAGGGCTGTGGGCTCACCACGGCCATAGTGAGGGTGAGCTGATGTCGGTGCAGCGCTACGACTGGACCGGCCTTCCCTGTCCACACTTTCCCCACCGCAAGAAAGGCAGGGCTCGAGAACGGGACACCCAACCACTCGTGCCATGGGATCCCTGTGTCATCTGCAAAGAACAAGGGAGTTTAGGCTAGCACCAGGTGTGTGATAACGATCAAGAGAGCACGAGAGTAACTACTCACCAATTGCGTTCTCAGCAACCCACTTCACACATGCAAGTGCGAACTCAG